AGCACAGACACCAAGTCATTGCTAATGATTCTGAAAACTGATTTTTTTTTTTATTAGAAAATGACATGAAACAGAAGATTTAAAGACAGTTTTTGCAACTAAAAATACTCATCCTGGTCTTCTTTTTACAGTTTAGTTAAGGTAGTGATCTGAAACAGTCTGGTAGAGATTGCACTGAAATCCACTGAGAGCACCATTGCTGACATCCAGTACCAGTTTTTATTAGAGGTCCGTGATTGTGAGATGAGTTATCAAATTAAGCTGATGCACGTGTTTACTTTTCTGTCCTTCTACAACAAAGGGTTGTATCAGAGAATTTCCAAAGACTTCAAACACTTGTAAGTGTGCTCATATACTTAATATGTAAAATATACATCTTGCAGACAGTATGATGTCTATTGTTCTTCTTGTATCAGTATACACAGTCTTCAGAAAATAAAATAACTCAGGAGCCTCTGTAAACAGTCACGGTGATTCTGATCAGGAAAAGTGTTGCTTGAGGGAGAGGGATAAAAATCTGTTCATATTTATACATTACTGACATTTAAAACTATTTCTTGGCCTCCAAAACTAAATATTTTTTGTATGAGGGTTCTTGAGGGGATGAAAGGCACAGGGGGATTAATTAGGAGGTGGATATTCAGTTCAGCTGAATGAGGCATGAAAAATAGGAGCAACAGAAGACCAGTGAATGCAACACGAGGTTGTCTTTAAAATCCTGAATCCTTCAATAATGTCCTTCTGTTAGCCAGTAAAATCAAATATACTGGATTAGAGCATTTCATAATAGTAGTGGATCATTAGTAAGTATTTAGCTGCTTTTAAACAAAGTGAAGATGCTAAAGGCAAATGTTTCATAAAGGAAATCACTTCAAAGGGAGTAGACATGAGAGTGTGAGGAGGACAGTTGATTTAGGGGCTCATACTGACTGACAGGAGCCACAAGAATAAATATGTATGGAGTGAAACAACTACAATGAGCTTTAGTAGCTTAAAAACCTGAATGGTACAAAGTTATTACGGACAGTTGTCGTTGCAAAAACCCCAGAGAAACAACTAATATTCCAAAAGCTTGTGCCATCAGTCACATTTACACATGGACTCCAGAGAAGTGGGAAAATATGTGAGCTCATGTACGAGGCCGTGGTTTCCTGTGAAAGAACAGGGTTCTTCAGCCATAAAAACACCCAACAAAATCAGGAATTTAGGAGACAGCAGATTGGACTGTAGTGTAGAGGGTGTGACAGCAGAAAAAAACCTTCCGTCAGCAAGGGGCGATGCCTGCTGACTCATCCACACAGTGCTGTCATAGTCCTGTCAAACCGAATGGCCGCCGTCAGTGGCCGGCAGCACTGAGTCCAGGGAAGGAGTCGATCTGGACTGTATCCTGAAAGGCTGATCCATGGCTGCTGTAAGATATGCGGATTCTCATCTTCAGATTCACCTGGAGGCGGAAGAAGGATTTAGATTGTGTGATGCAGCTACAATTGGCTCTGCTTCAACTGGGACAGGAGTAACAGAACGAGATTTGGACCTGGCACACGACGCACACTTGGCAATGATGTATTGTTCTCGCTGAATACGACAGGTTTGTGGGGGTTGTGTGAAAATGTGGAGATAAGGTGTGAAGATTAATTATAATGTTGTACTTTCAAACAGATTCAACTTTTACAACAGAAAGTTTGATTTGCAGGGGGTTGTTTTCTCCTTTGCTCATAAAGATGTATGGATCACTGATCCTGACTGACATGACTTTGTGAATCACAGCTTTGTGTGTGTGTCACACCCACCTTGTTTGGGTTGTTGAGGACTACCATCTGGGTCACCTTAGCTGCGCCTCGTGCAGGAAGAGAGTCCCCACTGGGGGCCTTCATGTGTAACTGGACACTCTGGGGGAAGATCAAATGGAACTTTGAAGTTTTAAGCCCCGAACATGCCTCCATTTATTGCACCGATGCCTGCCACTGAGAACATGACAGAGTCTAAAACTGACACCCTGTGAGCAACACAGACTGCTCACATGTAGAGAGACAGTAGGTGTATCTGTGTATGTGATACAGCACTGGAAATGTACAAAGTGCTGAACTTTTTTTAGTGCACCTGAGCAGCCTGAAATCAACAGAGAAAGCTTGTTTGCTAGTGAGTCTGTGTGTGGATAGCGTGCTTTATCAGACAAACCTTGGGCACTGCAGCCTGCAGGGTGAAGCTGCTGATGTCTGAGTCAGTGGAGTTGGAGGCTGTCAGTGTGACTGTCATGCCCGAGTCTGACTGTTTCTCACAACTTAGAGTCAAAGCCACGCCGTCTTTCTCATACACCTGCACTGTGGGAGCTGCAGAGAACACATATTATAAAATGTTGCATTCGTTTAAAACCAATACTGAGCAAAAGAACTGTGTATGTGTTGATATGAGGGTCAGACCTGGTGCGGGGGGTGCAGGCTCTAACCCTCCCAGTAGATCCAGAAGGTCTCCTCCAGTAGTGCTAGAGGTGTTGGTGAGCAGGCCAGGTGCTGTACCTCCTACTGCTGGAATGGGCTGCAGAGTCTCCTCAGAGCCTCCCAGCAGGTCTAACAGATCACACACCTGAGGAAGAGACACCAGAGCAGAAACCTGCCTGTTTGAACCTCAACAGAACACACTGCTCTGCTATTCAAAGCAAATCTTTCAAAGGATATTGAGACTGAGAACATTATTTGAATGCACCCATATCTGCACAGTTACAGCCCAAACTTCATCTGTAAAGTGCTATAACTAACATATCCATAAAATTAGAAAAAGGAAGACACCACTGACCAAACATCTGTGCCATTAAAAGGTCTGCAATTGTATCTTCATCTCTATACGTGATCATTTTGTATTTCATCACAACATTGCTGCTATACTGGTTAGCTAAGCTTCATTACAACTTGATTTGATAGAGAAAATGTGTGGTTGGTAAACCAATCCACCTAGTGTCTGTGTGTAAACTATTTATTATGCACAGCCCACAACAGGGTATGATGTTGTAACACTAAAATATTTGTAATAAAGCCCATCATATAAAATAGACATTAGCTTACAAGCCAGAGACAGATATTTTGCAGTGTCATGAGCCCATTTACTTTTAGCTTTGCCTGAGGTCAGGACTAGTCGAGTTGAGTCATCAGTCCAGTCTTGGCTAAGTTGCTGTCATACAACATGCATGTGTCAATGTAAGTACCTGGTTAGCAGGTTGTTGTAGCAGCAGTGGCTCTCCCTGTTTGACTTTGACTGGTTGGATGTCCTTGATGGGCTCCCCTGTTGACTCTCCGTTGGTATGACCCGGCGAGTTCTTTTCAATCACCGGCATCCTCTCCAGCACTGCTGCCCTGCAGACAGAGGGGTCCACTGTTAGGTCAGATCAATTGTAAAAATTCTCAACACTGGAATCACAACTTTTAATTCTTAGATACATAGTATCTAACATGATTATAAAACAGGAAAAGTAGACTTCTTTATCATGCTGTTGCATACCTCATGTGGTCGTATTTTCTGAACAGAGCATTGTATTCAACTGCCCTCTGCTGGAGCTCCACATCGATACAGCTGCCGTAGATGCTGACGATGCTTCTGATACGACTGGCAGGGGTGAGGAGATGAAGAGAGAGAGCAGCAGTTAGAGGACTGACATTACTGCATCTATTTAGAAACTGTCTTAATCAGGAGTCCTTTGCTAAACAACCCCCTCTCACTGGATGTTAGACCCTAGAAACAACTTGTCCAATCATCTGTTCAAAACTTAAACAGGTGCTACAAAATTCAAAGTCTGTTGCGACCAAGTTTGTGACACCATTGTTAACACTCTTTATATACGACACATCAGCATCAAATCTTTGCCACAGGGAAATAGGAACAGGGATTTCATAGAAACATGTAGCTGCCTGAGTCTTGCCAATTCTTGAATAGCTCTATTGTTAGTTTCATTAGCCTCTTTTAACTTGAGAATGCAGCGTTTAGCCTTCACTGAAAGGTGTTATGTTGGCAATGTTAACACACTGACACTGAAATGCAGGTTGATGGTGTTTGGAAATGTCAGTGTGTACAGTGTTTCGTTCCTCACTAAATGTGTTTTTTCTCAACACATGACAAAGTAACATTTGACTAACTGGTTATGATCAACAGACCTTTCTAACCAATCAAATACTGTACTGTATACTTTTGTTCTTTTTGAGTTATGCAGCAAATAAACAAAACAAAACAAAATAAATCAGACTCATTGGCACTTTGATCTAGCCACAGCGGTCTGTTACGGTGCTTTGACTGTATCCGGTCAGTGTTTGCTGTGAGTGACAGAGGTGTTTCCTTACTCCACGTTATCGGTAATGCGTGTGCTCAGTTTCATGGTGGCGGTGAGAGCAAAGCCTCTGGTCGCCGGGGACGACATGTGGGACTGCAGAACCGTTTCCAAGGCGTCAAGGACGTCATCTTCGGTGACCTGATCGAGAGACGTGCCAATACAGGCCCATTTTAGCTTCTAGTATTCATTTAGCTGATGATCCATCACATTCACTGCATAGTGACACAAACCCTTCATTTATGAGCTGAGGACTACAAAGACATTTGGACTTAGCATTGGGTAAATTCCCACACACTACCAGATACCAAATATTGCTATTAGGAAAATTTCAAATGCTGAGTTAAAGACCAAGTTAACTGGATTCCCTGTTGCATAAATCAGCAGTTGCTATAGGTAGAGCTATTACTACTCACACCCCCCATTAGTTGCTGTCAAATGTTTCTTTGTGTTCTAGCAGACAGGAGGATCTAGCAATGGGCAGAATCACTACTACTACTATTTATTTGTGTTATACTATAAAAATGTGTTGGTTCTCGGTGTACCTGAACGGGCTCAGTCTCCTGACACTCTCCTCTCAGCAGCAGGTCTCCATACTCTCCTATACACCAGCACGCCACCTGCACCAGGGACTGCTGCATATACAAATGTTAAACTCACAGTAAGAAATAATCCCAGAGTGATACTTTGCGTTTCTGTGAGACTGGCTTGCTGGTCAGCATAGCAGTTTGCAACATCAGAGCCACTGTTCCCTGAATTCGCTGGAAGTTAATGTGGTGGAAGATGGGAAACTGCACCACACTGCAGATGAGTACATGGCTGCTCATCTGACTTGCCTCTAAAAATAAACCTGATTGCATCAGCCAGTTTCTAACTGAAAGCCTAGCTATTCTCACTGCCATGGAACCAAACCAGCTCTTTCTGGTTCACAACTGACACACGCTTTTCTTTTATTGAAAAGTTAAGAGTTTTGCACATTAGGCAGTGCTGCAAAACGATCCTGAAATCAAATGACATGATATTTACATACAAATTTCTGACAAAGAACTCTATCAATCATTCATATTTAAAGGTCCAGTGTGTAACATTTAAGAGGCTCTATTGGCAGAAATGGAAAATAATATTCCTAAGTATATTTTCATTCTTAGGTATGTTTTTCATCTTGAATAAGCCTTTTATATCTATGGCGGCTGTGAGTCACATTCCGTGTAGGCCGCCATGTTTAACATTTTTCTACAGTGGCTCAGAACGGACAAAACAAACATGGGTGTAGATAGGGTCATTACAGATTATCACGTTTTGCAGCCACTGTAGTTTCTCCTTTGCACTTGGAAAGGGAGGCTGAAGCAAGGGAATCACAATCTGCAACTACACCACTAGATTCTACTAAATACTACACACTGGTCCTTTATAAGGTACGATGTGGAATTTTCAGATAGGGGTGACCGTTTAGTGAACTGCAGTCCAACCTGCCTCTTCCTGGCGGTCCAAAGCTCCTGTGCTAGAGGTGTAAACACCAACACTCCCCCAGTGCTCCAAGCTCCCAGTCAGGGCAAGGTCAACTAATAGCACCCCTAGCTGCACGGCTAACTGAGCTGACTAGCTAATGCCATCTACAATTAGCAGCAGTTAGCAGTCACTTTAGCAACAAGTAAAGCTACGGTATCAGTCCATCAGGAAAGTCTGTAAATCACCAGAATTTGAGGCAGAGCAGCCAGAGGACATCAGAGGGAGAACCAGAGCATATTTTCTCCATTAAAGATGATTCAGTTTCACCAGATTCAGTGATAAGGTTATAAAGTTGTGTTTTTGTAAAGTAATCAGTGAGGCCCAGCCCCCAGAAACACTCCGCTCCGGTGTTTTTCCGATCTGATTCTTGTCTCACTTATCAAATTCAGTGCCCCATATCACTATTTTGTGGTTTTATTTTGGCTGCAAACTGAATACATAATTGTATTTTGTTTTTGATTAGTCTATTCCACCTTAAGAGACATAAATAAACTACACTAAATAAACTACATTCGATCAGCTATACTGAGGTATTGATTTGTAATTTGCAACTTTTAATTACAAAAAGTCTTTGCATTCAACAGAAGACTTTAAGCATTGTTCCTATGATGAATGTAATCACATCTTATCACTCTATTTATCCAGATATGATATATTATTATTATATATGT